TATATCATGTATTTATATACATATGCATGCATATATATATATGTTAACATATACATATAAAATTTCCTCCTGTTGAGCTCTAGCTTTGGGCACAGTCTTGCTAAAAGTTGAGGAAATCCAGCAAACTCATTCCTTAAGTTAGTTCTCTTAGCCGCCTGTGAGGCCTGCCAGAATCTTCAGAGATGCTCTTAATACACAGCGTTAACCAGGGAATAAATGATTGGGTCTGCAAAAGGGGACCTGGGATCATGGAGAAACTGTGTTCAGAATCCATGAGATGCACATTCCCCTACCATTATTTCTTCCACCTACAAAAATACTCTCCCCTTTAGGTATTTCTGCTCCTCCCCAAAACTAGTGTCCTCCAAGCAGTATGTTACATATAACCTTTCTATGCCCTGCTTTGTACCTGTGCTCAAGAATGCATTTTTTTTTCTTTTCCTTTTAAACTCAATTAATTAACATATAATGTATTATTGGTTTCATAGGTAGAGATCAGTGATTCATCAGTCTTATATAACACCCAGTGCTCCTTACATCACGTGCCCTCCTTAATGTCAAGAATGCATTTTTATCAACCTGTTTATCTTAAGTTGAAAATGACCGGTAAGGCTTAACTGTTACTTATTTTGAAATTTACATACCATGGGGAAATAGACATTAAATGAATCAATTATTACTAATTGTGGCATTTCAAGAATCAGTCATTTGGCTGGAGGAATTTTGGAAGGAGTGAGGTGAGCACCTCCTCTGTGTCCCTGAAACCATACCATTATTAGGATCCTACTATTCTTAAGACCAGATCAGAGGAAACTGAGTATTGATGTGAATAATTTTTAAAAAATGGATGGCAACTTGGTGGATGAATTAAGTTAGATATAGTTCAGGGTTCTGATTATAAAGGAATAGTGAGTAATTTTACAGCTGTGTAGTAATCTATATCTGCAGACATATCTCTATATGTATAATCTTTCTCTGTAAGGTTCTATCTATCTATCTATCTGTCTGTCTGTCTGTCTGTCTATCTATCTGTCTATCTATCTATCTATCTATCTATCTATCTATCTATCTATCTATCTATTTATCGTGTGTGTGTGTGTGTGTGTGTGTATGTTGTTTGTCTCTGAAAAGCATCTCTGAGGATCATGTATGATGTCTGAGTACTCGCCAATACCATAAGCAGCAAATGAGCATAAAAGGAGAAGCTCATGTTCCAAGTTCTCATTTTCTGTGACTCTCTCTGAGAATGAAGCAGCACAGACAGACCCTAGATCTGTCAGAGGAAGGTGATCCACGGGTCTGTCCTTTCCGCAGCATGGGAAGACAACCCTGCAAATCCTGCTGTTACAACGAAATAGCCAAAAACACAGTCACCCCTGCCTTTTGCAGCTGGGGAAGTATGGAGTAATGAGTTGAAAAATCTGCTCAGAATTGAACAAAGGTTTGCACTTCACTTCACACATGAGCGAGCGAACATTTACCCTAGATCAATAACAGTTCAGCAAAGTGGTGAGTAGCACTCCACCATGCTTCCTAGCCCCCTCCAGCAAGGACACTGCAGACCATAGTCTATTAAACTAATTTACGGGACGTGGTAGGAACATGCCTTTTACCTGGCTGTAGCGAGGAGTGTGGTGGGCGAGGTGCCCTCTGCCTGCCATGCTGGGCACGAGTGGTGCATCATCTGTCACTACCCTGCTGGCTATTACAGCGCATTTTGTAAGAACCATCACGCTTACATTTCAGACCTGCATGATGACTTTTATTGTCCCTATTACCTGAAGTCTTAATTTACGCCTTTGCAGCTTTATGAAATACATTGTTTGCTTCATCTCTGTCATGGGCCTCCCTTAACATTCAAGGCGATATATTATCACTGATCACTGTGAGTCCTAAGTTATCTCACATCCTGACAGAAAGAGCTTTTTTATCCCCTTGTTTTCTTGAGCCAGCACAGTATGTAGAATGGTTTGGTGGTGGGTGGTGGGTGGGGGAAGAGAAGGATTCTGTCACGGATATGATTAAGCAATGCCCGAGTGTCATGGTTTTTTTGTTGGTCAAAAATCTGTTCCTTTTTATTCTCTAGTTTAATAATTAGTTGCGTTGTACAATGATGAGTATATAAAACTCTTATGGTTATTTGATTTGACCATGAGATGAATAAATGGAAAAAAAAAAAGACTCAGACTTAAAATGAGGTTGTGGGGCGCCTGGGTGGCTCAGTTGGTTGGGCAACTGCCTTTGGCTTGGGTCATGATCCTGGAGTCCTGGGATCGAGTCCCACATCGGGCTCCCTGCTCGGCGGGGAGTCTGCTTCTCCCTCTGACCCTATCCCCTCTCATGTGTTCTCTCTCATTCTCTCTCTCGCAAATGGATAAAATCTTAAAAAAAAAAAAATTTTTTTTTTTTTAAATAAATAAAATGAGGTTGTGGTGGAAATATTAATAGGGATCTTATTCAAAGAGACTTCCTATTGTTTTCTTCCTTCTCTCTTTTTTTTTTTTTTAAAGATTTTATTTATTTGACCGAGAGAGTCACAGTGAGAGAGGGAACACAAGCAGAGGGGGTGGGAGAGGGATTATTAAACCATAATGCAAAGAGAATTCTGAAGTTTTCTCCAAGCAAACATGAGAGCTTTCTAAGTCTGAGAAGTATCCACTTCTATAAATCCTTTAAAAATGTTGATGAATAGTTGACTGCGGCTTTGTGATTGATAAGTTTCACAGTTCACTTTATGGGCAGTTTAATTCTTTAGTATTTTTATGTGGGGAACTTATAAAAGGGAATATGCCACTGTTCCTTGAGGAATTTCTGTTTATACTGAAGTATTTCGTATAATCCCAAATATTTATGGTGGGGAGAGGCACCAGAAATTGAGGAAAAAGCATCAGTTGTCTCTGATTTAGTCCTTCTTCATAGCATTTTATTGTTTTATAGGAAGATATATTCTGATGGTTGATTTCTTCAGCTACTTCCTACTTATGGGCCTAAAATTTTGGGTTTATCCTATTCCATGTTGGTCCTACATGATACTCAACAACCTATTTGATTAATTTAAGAAAACTGACAGATTGATCTAATTTAATTGGCCTAGAAATTAACTGATTTAATTGGCAAACCAAGGATCTTTTAGGGGTGAAGAGTAACTAGACAGTACACAAGGGATGGGCATTTTTCCAGGACTTGAAGAATCATATTCAAAAGAAGATATGCATCAGAACATGAGAAGACACACTGGAGACTGTTTTTATTTGGCAAGCAGTGTGACTGACTTGAATTTGGGCCAACTAACTGTCCCTTAAAGATTCCTGAGAGAAACCGATGTGCCCATAAATCAAAGAGAGGAAGTCAGGGCTTATTGCAAGGACGAAACCTGGATGGAAGTTGGTATGGAATTTACTTTCTTCAATTTTTATTGGGCCTTTCTTTGAAAGAAAGGGAAGGCATGATTTTTTGTTGTTGTTGCTGAGTTTGTATGGTTCTGACAGGGGAATCTAAACAGAATTTAATATATACATATATATATATAATATATATTTAAATATATATATTTATTTATTTTAAAGATTTCATTTATTTATTTTAGAGAGAGAGGGAGAGCGGGAAGGTGAGTGGGGGGAGGGGCAGAAGGAGAGAAAATCCCAAGCAGACTCCCTACTGAGCACGGAGCCCGCTGTTGGGATTAATCTCACAACCCATGAGATCATAACCTGAGCTGAAATCACTAGTCGGATGCTTAACTGACTGAGCCACCTAGGCACCCCTGCTTTATATTGTATTTTGAAGATATTTTATCGTGAACATACAGATTTTGAATTATCATCTTCCTGTTGTACTGGGCACATGGTGAATCATCGTGAAATATTCTGTTTCTTTAGTTATTCTTCTTGCCTATTGTCAACTCTGTCTGCATTGGTATGGTTGCTCCAGCTTTCTTTTGGCTAGCATATGCATGGTGTATTTTTCCATTTTGGCTTACCATTTTGTTGTCCTCATATTTAAGGCACGTTTCTTATAAGCAGCATGTGGCTTGCATTTTATTTTTAACCACCCTGATAAATTTAGCCTTTTACTTGGAATTATCTAGTCTTCAATTTCTTTTACTTTAGGTTTACTGAGACCACCACCATTTCTCTGTTTTTGAGTCTCAGATTCTGTCCTATGCCCAGAATTGAGAAAGACCTCCAGGGGAAATGCAGCCACAGATAGTCTGTTTCTGGTCTCCCCCAGGGTTTTCAGCTGGTGTGTATCTGAGCTCTGTCACCTTGGTGAGCTTTCTTCTTCTGTATACCAGAAAACTGCTTAAAATTTTCCTCTGTTTTTCAGAAATTTTCAGTATAGCTATAAAGCAACCAACCCTACTCTGTCTACTTCAACATTTGGCAGATGGCTTGAGGGGGAACGTAGCTGTGTGTTGAGGTCCTTCAAAGCCTCCAGTTCTATTACTGCTTTCCCGTAGCACCACCAAAAGCTCTGCTGATTTCACTGTCCCCAAGCAGTGACCCTCTATCTGGGCCAAGCCTGGACTGTCAGCCCCTAGCATATGCTGAATGTCAACAGTTTCCTCAGGGGACAGACAATTGCAGCTCATTAGCTCAACATCGAGAGTTTCCCCCTTGAACAAACTTTTAGCTCTCGAAATCTCATTGCTTCCACAGCTACATGAGGGGTCATTTAACATATATAGTCAGAGCCAACCTTAATTAGTTGTTTTTGTGGAGTGCTTTTCCATTGGAACCTACTCCATCTTCTCTCCGAATTTTCATTTAAACTAAAAGAATTTCTGCAGTTTAGAATTTATTTGTATGCCAAGGAATTTCACGATTACTGTAGAAAATTGGAAAATGCAGAGAGGAAGACATTAAAGATGCTGTTGTGGTTATCTGTAGCTGTGTAACAAACGACTTCAAATCTAAGAGGTTTAAAAATCGTTTTAGTTTTACTCACAGTTTTGTAGGTCTGATAATGTTCAGTTGACTACTTTGTATCCATTTTACCAGGTATCATTTTCAAGATGGCATCCTCATTCATGTGGCTGGTGCTTGGGGAGACTTGCTCTGTTTTTCTCGCCACATGGTGTCTTATCCTCCAGGGTTTTTCATAGTGTGGTGGCCTAAAGGTAGGTGATCTTCTTATTTAGTGACTCAGGGCTTCTGAGACTGCAAAAAAGGATGTCGATCCTCTTAAAAGCTGGCATGAGAACCAGGATGACATTGTTTTCATCATATTCTATTGGTCAAAGTGGCCATGGACCAGGTCAGGTTCAACAGGTTCAACAACAGTGGAAATAGGCTCTACTTCTCAATGGGAAGAATGTTAATTTGCAGACATCTTTTATCTGCTGTGGTCCATTCAGAGAATCGTTTGCAGTATCTTGGCGAAACAGAATAATAATGATAGCTAACATGCGTTGAGTTTGCTCAAAACACATTGTGTTTTGCTTCACTTAGTCATTACTATAATGCTGAGGTGAGGACCTATGAATATATGAAATGTTTTCATTAGAATTTTATTTTATTTTATACATCTATTTATAGTTGACCCTTGAACAAGGCAGGGGTTAGGAGTGCCGACCTTCACACAGTCAAAAATTTACACATAACTTTTGACTCCTCAAAAACTTAACTACTACTAGCCTACTGTTGACTGGAAGCCTTACTGATAGCATAAACAGTTGATTAACATGTATTTTGTATGTTATATGTATTATTTACTATATTCTTACAACAAAGTAAGCTAGGGAAAAGAATTTGTTATTAAGAAAATCATAAGGAAAATACGTTTACAGTTCTGTACTGTATTTATCAAAAAGAATCCACATGTAAGTGGACCTGTGTAATTGAAACCCATGTTGCTTGAGAGTCAACTGTATTTAATTATACAAGTAAACATGAACACATGCTTATTAGAGAAAAAGCTAAACTGATTAGAAATTTATAGAAATTTATATCTTGGAGTGCCTGGGTGGCTCAGTGGGTTAAGCGTTCGACTCTTGATTTTGACTCAGGTCATGATCTCAGGGTCATGAGATCGAGCATCACTGGGTCTGTGCACTGGGCATGGAGGCTGCTTAAGATTCTCTCTCTCCCTCTCCCTCTGCCTCTTCCCATGCCCTCCCCCACCCCCACTCCTGAGCTCTTTCTCTCTCTCTAAAAAAAAAAAAAAAAGAAATGTATATCTTTTCTCAGAGATGAACATGGTCATTAATCTAGTGGGTATCCTTCTAGAACTCTCATGTCTGTGTATTTGCTACCATAGCCCACTTGACCCTGATACCTTTGGTGCCAGATGCAGTTAGGCAGAAAATGTGGATTCAAAGAAAATGTGGTTCAAAGCTATGATCCAAACAAATGAAAGTAAGAAAGCCTCCCCTTCACCACTTATTCACGTTTCTTCCCTTTCATCAGTAAAATATTGTTAGCTGTTCTACATTCCTTTGATGACTTTCAGATGCTTCAACCTACAACACGGTTTCTGGTCCCTAGAGACTATTTTGTTTCATCACTGTCATTGGTCTCTAAGGCATGTCAGAGCGTAGGTGACCAATGGAGTATTTCAAACAAGAGTAATGTCAAAAAGTTTGCCATCATATGTAAGTGCAACTTATCATCACTTAATTACTGAACAAGTCTTAGTGTTAAATAACTCCCTTAGAAAAAACTGATTCTGAGCTTTCTGAGACTTTAATACATAATCTATTTATTTTTAATGTGATTTACATATAAAATGAGTTTTACCTTAACATTCTTATGTATAGAAGTATTCAAAAATTTCAGACTAACGAAGCACATAGAGGAAAGCAAAATTGTTCATAGCATTATTTTGTTTTAGGATTATAAATCAGCACATGTTCAACAAGCCCGTGTCATCATGAGGGAACTGCCTTCACCAGATTCCTAAATAAGAATTGCATGCCTTCAGGCAAAACATAATTCTAATGGCCAGTTTTAGTTCTGATTCATGAAATCTAGGTTTGTATTGTTTTGTAAAGTATGTTATTAATTGTAAAACCTACTAGCAACGCTTCCTGCTGTGATGATTTTCAAAATTCAAATATCTGTGTCTCTGATTTGGTCTCCTTTAGTCATACGTCCCTGTGAACTAGAACCAGACTTTGTTTCCAGGAGGCTGATCCTTTGATCTGAGCACTTGGTCCCACCTCCTTGGCCCTTCTTGGGTGTGCTCTCCGTCATTTATTTTCCTCCTTTTCTTGAATAGGCAAACTCTTTTCCTCTCTACAGGACTCCTCAGTTTTAAGTATTCCATCTTTCTCCTCCCGAAGTCAAGTTTAATCTTTCTTCATGTCCACTGACTCTGTAGGTGTGTCTTTTTCTTTCTCTCGCCTGTTGAATTTCCTGGAAGAGTTCACTAGCTGCTTCTGTTGCCTTTTGTCCCTCTACTCCTAGTTCAGTGTTCATTTGCAACACCAGGCTTCTCAACACTGTTGATTGCCCCTGTGTGTGTGTGAGCGCACTCGTGTGCGTGCGTGTGAAAATCTATTTTCCTTTGGCTTTCATGCCATGACTCCCACTCTCCTCTGATGGGACTTCTTCCTCTGTGATATTTTTGCTGGCTCTGTGTATTGTCGGCCAGGAGTCTGTTCACAGAACTCTTCTCATCATAAACACCACTCTCCTGGAATAAGTTCATCCACTCTTAGTGCTCTCACTTCTATCTGACTAACACAACTTAAAAAAATCTTTAAAAAAATAATTATGGACTTACAAGAAATTGCAAAGATAGAGAAGTTCCACGTACCCATCACCCAGCTTCTCCATTGGCCTCATCTTACATAATTTTAGTGCATTATCAAAACCAGGAAAATGAATGACACAAATGATTAATTAGACTATATATCTTACTGGGACTTCACCACCTTTTTCATGCACTCATTTTTTTTTTTTTTGCATGTCTTTGTGTATAATTTTATCATATTTTATCACATATATGGATTCATATGACTGCCATTATAATTAAGATGCAGAAATATTCCTTCATCACAAAGAACTCTCTTCTGCTGCCTCTTTATACTCACACTCTCCCTACTCTTCCCTAACCTTTGGCAATCACATGTCTACCCTCCATTGGTATAATTTTGTCATTTAACAGATTCCATATAAATGGAATTGTACAGTATGCAACTTTTTTCGATTGGCTTTTTCACTTAGCAGAATATCTTTACGATCCATCCAAGTTGCTGTGTGTGTCAGTAGTTTTATTTTTTTCTCTTATACTGCTGAATAGTAGTCCACTGTATGAATGTACCACAGATTGCTTCATCATTTATCCATCGAAGGACATTTGGTAGATTTTAGCTCTTACAAATAAAAGCTGCTATGATCATTCATGCATAGTTTTCGTGTGAGTCTAAGTTTTCACTTCTCTAGAATGAATGCCCAGCAATGACATTGCTAGGTCCCATCAGCAATGTGTGAGTGATTCAGTTTCTATACATCTCCACTAGCGTTTGATGGTACCACTATTTTAATTACCATGTTATAGATGTGCCATGGTATCCTGTATTTTTAACTGGCTTTTCCTTAATGCCTAGCAATATTGAAGACCTTTGCATGTGTTCATTCGCCATCCATATATCTTCTTTGGTGAACTGTTCAATTTATCTGTTTTTTTACTGTTGGATTTAGGTAGTTCTTTGTATACTCTGGACATGAGTCTTCTGATGGATATGTGATTTGCAAATATTTTCTCCCAGTTGGTGACTTACCTTTTCAACTTCTTGACATAGACTTTTAAGAGTAAATGCTTGGGGCGCCTGGGTGGCTCAGATGGTTAAGTGTCTGCCTTCGGCTCAGGTCATGATCCCAGGGTCCCGGGATCGAGTCCCGCATCAGGCTCCCTGCTCTGCGGGGAGCCTGCTTCTCCCTCTGCCTCTCTCTCTCTCTCTCTGTGTCTGTCTGTCATGAATAAATAAATAAAATCTTTAAAAAAAAAAGAGTAAATGCTTTGTTTTTTTCTTTTAATTTTGATGGGATCCAACTTATCAATATTTTTTTTTATGGACAGTGCTTTTGGTGTCGTATCTAAGAGCTCTTTGCCTAAGTCCATTGCAAAGATTTCCTCCTGTGTTCTCTTCTAAAAGTTTTATAGTTTTACATTCTGCATTTAGATCTATGACCAGCTTTGAGTTAATTTTTGTATGAGGTGTAAGGTTTTATTCAAGGATAGCTTGGCGGGGGCTGCTATGGATGTCCAATAGTGGTAGCACCATTTGTTGAAAAGACAATCCTTCATCTACTGGATTGCTTTTTTACTCTTGTCAAACATCAATTGGACACATTTGTGTGGATCTATTCTGGGTTCTCTATTTTGCTCCATTGACCTACCTGTGTCTATTACTCTGCCAATACCACATGGTCTTGATTACTGCGCTATATAGTAAGTCTTGAAACTGAGTAGTGTGATTCTTTCCACTTTATTCTTTTTTTCAGTGGTGTTTAGCTGTTCTAGTTCCTTTGTCTTTCTGTATAAATTTTAATACATACTGGAATAACACATCTTTAATCTTAACCCCTTCTCTCTTGAGTGGAGTTGGCAGATTTAGCAAAAAAAAAACAAAAACAAAAAACAGAATGCCCAGTTAAGTCTGAATTTCAGGAAAGCAGCAAGGAATTTTTTAGTTTATGTATGCCCCACATATTGCATGGGGCATACTTATACTAAACAGTTATTTGTTGTTTATCTGAAATTCAATTTTAATGGTGCATCTTGTATTTTATTTTTTTCTACCTTGTATTTTGTATTTTATCTACCCTTATGCCTCAGAAGAAAGAAAATCTTTTTACATGCATGTCATGCAGATAATATCTTTTTAAAATTTTTATTTCCATCCTTTTTTTTTTTTTAAGGACTTATTTATTTATTTCAGAGAGAGAGAGAGAGAGAGAGTGCAAGCAGGGGGAGTGGCAGAGGGAGAGGGAGAGAAAATCTCAAGCAGACTCCATGCTGAGTGCAGAGCCTGACGTGGGGCTGGATCTCAGGACCCTGAGCTGAAACCAAGAGTTGGTTGCTTCAACAACTGTGCCACCCAAGTGCCCCTTTATTTCCATCCTTATACGTGCATCTCTTTCTGAATTTCCCATCACATTTATGGCCTTACCA